GAGGAGCAATTTAATTGATAGATGCGATAAGAAGTGGCTAGTGGAATCACAACTGATCGTATGGAAGAGTTGCACTGAAGCTTACTAGCATTAAACGTTCTTTGAATTAATTTCCCCCAACTTGTTGGGGTTATTATTTCGCTTGATGAATCAATCATCTTTGAATTGTAGTCGCATTTTGTTAATACTATACTTTCACCTCGTTAGAGCTACAGTTTCCATTGCCGACTGAGAGATATACTTCCGAACTGCATCTTGTTTGCTGGGTGATACTAAATACACAAAGGAAAGGGGTGTTCGGCTTGAGGTTAGCAACTTCACCAATCGAAACTTATGAAAATGAGTAAAAAACAAAATGTCATTATAAAAATTATTATTTCATTTTTTTCACTGATTGGGAAATATAAACATTTTAAGTGTTGGTTTGTAGGGATTTGGTTGGTTTCAGGATTTCATCATGAGCTGACATTAGTTAGAGAACCATTGGAAAACCTGGGAGTACTGGACAGCTGTTTCGTCCTGGTTTGGGACTCTTCATCAGTACGCACCCACCGGGATTCGAACCCAGGACCTTCCTGTTACAAGGCGAGCTCGTATACCATTAAGCCATTGGGACCCGATCCAATGGTCCTTGAATTCTAACTTCTGCCAATTCACGACATAGCGCGACCGTTAGCCAATGTCTTCGGCGAGTATTTGTCCTCACACCGACCCGCTGCACCCTAATGGTCACGACTTCCCACTGGAACCCAGGTAACTACCTACCTGAATAGGGCCAGTCGCCAGTGAGCATCTCATTGGTATTTAAGTGTTGATTTGTAGGAGTTTGGTTGGTTTCATTTTAATTGGACACGACTATCATGCGAATCAAGTTCTCTGCTTGGTAAAGACTAAATTCTACTAGTAAAGTTTATGATGTGGCCAGTATGCCACTAGGTGGCTCGCCATCACGGTGCACTGTGAATTGTTGTCAATAGATGGTTGGAGAGATTTGGCAGAAATTGTTAGACTTAGGTTACGTGCCTTTTGGCTGTCACTCATCAGCAAACCATACCAGTAATCCTGAAGGAGCTCATGTTTATTCTAAGATTCAAAGATGAATCACCCAGTACTACAGTCCAAGACTTGGCTGCTGAGCTATTCAGGCGGGCGATTGACCTCATGTAGGACTGCAATGGACACTTTGATTGAACACAAGTTAGTAACTGATATCATGATTCAAGTCATTCATAATCGATGGTAACACTTAGAAAGATTGAGCGAAGAAATATTAACTTTACTACTTCTCTGGCTCTACTCTAGTATATTCTGTATAGCATTTTTATTACAATACAAAACAATTTACCAATCAAGTGGCACTGTTGTTTTTTTTTTGGTTAACAACAATTAGTCAGTGTCAACATGTCAGTGCGGCGAGTGATAATTAACGAAGAAAATCGATACTCATTTAAAAAGTAGAAATTATTATTGTTATTATTGTTCCCTTGGGTTCCTAGTGGAACATAGGTCTTCAACTGCAGGTCTCCGCTTGCTTCTGTCTTCTGCTGTACTCCTCACCTGCATCCATGCTCACCATCCATACTGTTTCAACTCCTCTTCACATGATCTCCTCCATGTCACCCACCCTTGCTTGCACTGACGTCCCACTCACCGCTTCCCTTTCCACCTGGTTCCACTCGAGTGATGGCCTGACGCGCGAGCGATGTCACCCAGCGCGATGCCTCCTCAGCGAGTGAGTGTCCAATGTGTCATCTCCACTTTCTCCTGCATATTTGTGTTGGGCGATCGATTGGTTCTTGTTTTGTTTGTTTGTTTGTTTGTTTGTTCCCATAGTTTCTTGTTGGTGATTATTGTTTCCGGCCCGGCTATCTGATCTTCATCATTATACAGCCAGCGAAGACAGCTGTTGCTGTTGTTGATAAAGGTGTGAGTTAGCCTGTTGGTTCGAAATATTCTTCGTGACCTGCCCGCGGGCCAATTTTCTGATCCGTATAGAGGAACTGACTGACTTGACGTTTGTTTGTATTGAAAATCCGACGGAATTTTATTGTTGATGCTGGCTGAGTGACGAAGATTTCCAGATTGGTTTCAGGTTGATGATGTTGATGTGTTTCTCGCCTTCCCGATTCTCGCTCGATTTGACATCCTCGTCCGTTCCGACTGCGTGTAGTTGAGACAATGCTCCCTAGATAAGTGAGTGAATGAAGTAACAACCTATTTCAAATCCCTCCCACTGATGGTGATTGGCGCTGGATGTTGCTGTTGTTGTTGGTTGGTTATTTTCATAACCTACATCTTGTCGCCTAGGCTTGGATTCTTCAAGTGGATTCCTCTTGCTTCAGCTGTCTTTGGAAGACGAACTCGTAGGGCAAAATTAAGATTAGTAGGAATGCGACAAATAATTTTAGATGCAGTATTCACATCAATCTTATGCTCACTATCTACAAGGTGGGCTAAAATAGAGCTACGAATAGATCTTGTTTGTCCCTTGCTTAACCATGTTGGATTATGTTCGGAAATACGATGATGAACCTGTCTAATTGTACACCCAATGTAACTGGCTCCGCAGCTGCAGTCAAACTGGTAGATACACATAGAAGAGGCAAATTTAGGTAGTTTATCCTTATTTCTCGAACGTAGAATATGGATGGTTGTGAAGAGACGACATGCCTCTGCTGCATAATAAGCTCTTTTAACTGCAAGCACACCGATTTATTCCAGTTCTAGTCCCAGAAGGAACCCAAGTTCGTCCAAGATTGCAGATACTTCCTGCTAAGTGTCAGTGCCAACAAGCACTAAACACGTGTCCAGCCAAAGTTTCCTTACGACTTCTTCCGACCGTCTAAGGAATATGAAAGTTTTCCAGAGTAAATCAGTAGCGAATTGGTTTGTTTCAGTATCCGATCATCGACCGATATTGGTCAGAGAATCTCTGAAAACCATCAAGGAGCACTGGAGAACTATGTCATTCTGGTCGGAGACTCATAGGGGCAATATGCACCAACCCCATCGGAGTTCGAACTCAGGACTTTCCACTCAGCCAGTGGGAGGCGACTAAACCCTGTATGAATTCCAGCTGTTGCCAATTCGCAGTATATCTACAGAGCAACCACCACCAGTCAGTGTCATCGGACCACTGAATCGGGTCCTGGGATCGAATACATGTTGACGGGTACTGCTGAGACGGAATCCTAAACTAGGATGGAACAGTCCTCCAGTACTCGCAGATAGTCTTGAATGAATCTTTAACTGATATTGATCCGTGATCAAAGTTTAGATAATTACGAAAACCGTTAATGACCGTAATATACTTTGATTCCATATTAGTTTGTTTATTAGATGTATCACACAGTGAGTGAAACAGTATTATTTACTGGATAACAAAGTTTCGAACACAATTCATTGCTGCTCATAACCATATCATCAATTATAACTGCACAACTGTGAAACTAGAGTTTTATTATTTTCTTTGTTCTCTCCTATTTGTCATCCAGATGTCCAGCATGATAGGTGTTAGATAATTTCTATTCCTGATTCAACCCAAAAAGTATGATGGACGTATGTAAATGAGACATTCACTGTACTTATAACACAGGATGTAGATAGATTTTTCGAACACATCAACTCGAAGGTAGAGGTAATTCAATTCACTTATGAATTAGAAAGTCACTGAAAAGGGGAGCTGTCAATGTTAGATTGTAGCGTAAAAAGGAAAGAAGATGGGTAGTTAAACACACACTGGTGTGTTTACGGGAAACCCACACATTCAAAGAGATATTTCGACCTCCGATCATCCTATCCTACGTCAGTAAAAATAGGATTGGTGAAATGTTTAAATGACAGAGCACAAAAAGTAAGTAGTACCAAGTAAAATCTAAGGCGGGACGTTTGGCATATTTGAGATGCTTTGGAACTCAATAATTACTCTGATAAATTAGTCAGAAAGTATGTAGGGAAATGTAAAAATAAAATAAATAATGATAATAGCGATAGTGACAATAATAATAATAATGATAACAATAATAATGATAATAATAATAGTGATAATAATAATAATATTAATGACGACACCAACAATAAGGAATCTAAATCATCAGTAGTAATTCCATCCATGCAAGGAAGGAATCTCGGAAACCTCACGGAGAATTCTTAATAAAGCAGGCAGAATTAAAAGTGCCTGGCATTCAAACCACCGACAAACTCAATTAGAAACAAGCTTTGTCGGTTAAGGAATCCTGTGGAGCACTTAAAACAAAACAATGATTGTCAGTCAGGTCAAATACATCGGTCAAACTAGTAGAACAGGAGCAGTCAGACTAGTGGAACATAAAAACCCATCAACAAAATCTAGATTGGCTGACTCCAAATAAGATAAGAAATATAGAGAGTAGTTCAGCTATAGCACTGACCACATGCAATCACGCACAACCGTACAATAGGATGATGGGATAAGACGACAGTTTTAAAATATAATGTCACAGGGTATAGGGAGAGATTGATAACGGATGCTTTGTTTATCGAATCAGCTGAGTAGAATACACGTAATATGAATGACTGAACACTTGTCTAGGTGGATATCTGGAAAATTCTACTACCCCAACGACAACAAATAAGAGAAGACAAATAAAACTGTAAACCTCAAGTTTCAAAGTCGTGTGATTATAACTGATGATATGATTATGAACAATGATGAATTGTGTTCGAAACTGCGTCATCCAGTAAATAATAATAATACTGTTATACTCACTCTGAGTGATACATCTAATAAACAAACTAATATAGAATTACTTATTACCACAGTGCCCAAGTTTTACACATATATTAATCATATACTTTAACTGTCTCGATAATGTATACGTTTATATGTATATATACTAATCTTAAGAACTCGCTTTTTCTCTATTTATTTTTCTATCCACCCCCCTATGAACAATACCTACTTGAATGTATTAACAACAACAATAACAATTGTTCAATAAATACAAATTATGCTACTTCAGAAGTAACATTGATGCGACGTTTCTGTGCTACAGAAGGTGCTGAACCCGAAGAAGTGAAATGTGTTAATCGTCATTCAGAAGGCGGTTTCTCTGAAATTTGTATTTGTGGTAGTGATAATTGTAATTCTGCACCCCAATTGTCAATGAAATCAACCTCGTTCACTTACTTTTTCCTATTCACCTTTCCATATATATACTACTTATTAAGTAATTAGAGTAATATATATATGCATAAACTAAATATTCTTGTTAGTAGTATTATAAGTAGTGTCTATCAGTGTCTATCTCCACATTTGAATATATATAGCTTACTGAGAAAGTATATCATTCGGGTTGAAGAGTATTACACTGTGAATAGATGAAAATGATGGCCATGGGGATCCCATGAATACCAAGATCCTTACACAAACAAACACATGCACACACACATACACTACTCATAGATTACAACATATGCACACTTCTCAACTGATAGTATCTTTTACTCGTTTCTCCATTTTTTTCTCATTGCCAACTGGTTTTTGCAAAAAATCTAAAATGACTGGGAAATATTACACTTTGGTTTAAATGCATACTCTATGTTGTTATCGTTATTGCTATTATTATTATTATTGATTTTTGTGTTGTGTTTTCTAGTGCATTTATATACCATTTTAGTCTAAATATATACTTACTACCTTCATGTATACTTATACATATATATGTATACCATATGTAACATGTTATACAGTAATATCAGTAGTGTATACATATGCGTAGAAATTTCGTTTTTTTTTTTTTTAATTCGATCCTTTATTCAGTTGAGTGAGGGACAAGCTCCGTAGGTAAAAGGATTGTGTTGACCTAATTAAACAAAATAATATAATTTACTAAATACCCTACAATGACTGTGAGTTAGGTCAACTACATAGGTCAAATTAATAGGTCAGGGGTAGTCAGATTGTCGGAACATAAGAATTTAGCTAAGGTAAGAATGGTTGACCCCGAGAAGATAAGTAATTTAGAAAACAGCTCAGCAACTGCAATGCATGCATTAACACACAACCACACAATAGGATGGGTGGGAGAGGGTTAAAATTCTAAAAAGTAATCTAGATAGGTGGAGAGTGAGAGAGGTTGATTACTGACTCCTTGTTCATCGTGTCTACACCCAACTCATGCAACAGAAATGACTCAATGCAAATATTAGAAATATGGAAAATATTATTACCACCGGTCAAGTCAGAAGAGGATAATAAATAATCTTAAAATTCTATTTCAATTCAAACACATCACAATATTCTAACAAGTAGTATATTATGACTTATCTATAATGGAGTTATACTCTACCATTACAGTACCCAAGTTTTATACTTATATCAATAATACATATGGTCTTCCTACTAGGAAGCTTATCAATAAACTCACACAACTTTCTCAAACAGAAGCAAGATTCACATGCCATCGGATTTTTAACAGTCGATGTTTAAAAAATCATATAATTCCGAAATATTTACGTCTACGTACTCCATTTACTTCAAGCAAAATGACATCGGCAGCTGAACATCTCAGTAAATTATGTCTAAGAGAAGAACTACGTCGAGTTACTGTGAAACTAAATAATATACGAAATGAAATCGAAAAACTCAAACAGAAACTCAAATGTATGGTCAATGACAAAGATTATGTAATCGTTGTCGAAACATCCAAAAAAGCTAGAGAATCAGAAAATCAAAAACCACACAAATCAAAAAATTCAACAAACTAATGGAAGAAAAGAACACAATAAATGAAATTGATGTCAACACTTCATCCTCTATCGACAGAACAAAATGGGTGATCAATCTCTCATCAAGGGAACTAAGCTCTAGTGAGATAAAAGTACTTGAGAAAGGACTAAATTTCAATGTAACAGTGAGTAAATTAAAACCAGAGGATGTCATTCCTAACATAGAAGTAGCACTAAGCTCAATAGATAAGACGACAGCAGAAGAGGTTTGAGCACAATGTGCATTAACCCTGAAAAATCAAAAGAAAGGCAAAATCAAACTAAACAAAATCGGAAAGAGAAGCTTTCATCAGTCTAAAACAGGATAAAAATATTGTCATCGCAAAAGCTGACACAAAGGAAACGCCACCGTAGTTTTGAATAAATCTGACTATATCAATAAAGTTATTAAACATATTCAAACGGGTCCATATGAAGAAATTAAGAAGCCTGTAGATACAATAATGAATAAGGTTGAGAAATCTACAGCGGAACTAATACGCAGAATGAAGCCATCACTGAGTGAGTCTAATTGGTTTAATTTAATGCCCAAAACTAATAATGCTAGTAGAATATATGGTACTATAAAAATACATAAGCCAGGTTACCCCATAAGACCAATAGTAGATTCTAGAAATACCCCCAACTTATGAATTATCAAAACACTTAGCTATCCTATAAAATTTATTAGAAAGATCGAAAAAGGCCAAAAAAACAAAAATAATTGTGAAACTAGTAATAATAACATAAATAAGAGAGAATATAAGTCATTTACAGTTATTCCATATAAGGAAGGGACACCTGAGACACTACGTAGGATTCTGAATAAAGCAGGAATTAGACTGGTGGCATTTAAACCTACAAACTCACTCAGATAGGACAAGCTCTGTAGGTTAAAGGACCCTGTCGGTTGACTCAATTAGACAAAATAATATAATTTATAAAATAGCTTGCAATGACTGTGAGGTCAACTACATAGATCAAAAGTAGTGAGATTATCAGGACATAGGAATTGAGCTAAGGTAAGAATGGTTGACCCCGAGAAGATAAGTAATTTAGAAAAAAGCTCAGCAATTGCAATGCATGCGCTAACACACAACCACACAATAGGATGGGTGGGAGAGGGTTAAAATTCTAAAAAGTAATCTAGGTAGGTGGAGAGTGAGAGAGGTTGATTACTGACTCCTTGTTCATCGAGTCTACATCCAACACATGCAATAGGAATGACTCGTCACTCATACCTGAAATATGGAAAATACTATTACCAATCAAATCAAGTGAAAATCAAGAGAAAAACAATGGAACTATATAAATGAATTTAGGAAGTCGTATGAGTAGTGCCTTGATATGATTATGAGCAGTAATAAATTGTGCTCGAAACGTCATCAGTAAACATTACTGTATAACACTGTGAGACTTTATCAAAACAAAATTTACCCATAATGGAATTACACTCTACCACAGTGCACAAGCTTTATTCTTACATCAAGGTGTTGTTTTGGACGGAGAATTTGGTTGGTTACAGGATTTCATCGTAAGCAGACATCATTTAAAGAACCATTGAAAAAGTGTCAGCGAGTACTGGACGTACTGGATGTTTCATCAACCTTGGTAGGAACTAACTCTTCAACAGGACGTACCTACCGCCAGAGTTCTAACTCAGGATCTTCTAGTTAAAAGATAGGATTGTAGAGCATTACTCAGTTACTGAGACCCGATTCAATGGCCAGAGCATGAATGTAACTTCTGCCAGTTGACGGTAGAATGCGAACACTAGACAATATCATCCGTGGTGGGAAGTATTTTTCCCCACACCCGACCTGATGTACTTCACTGGTCATGACTTCTCACTAGAACCCAGGTAACTACCTATCTGAGTAGAATACATGTTTTGGTATTAGTCAGAACTGACTTGACGTTTGTTTGTATTGAAAATCCGGCCGAATTTTGTTGTTGATGCTGGCTGAGTGACGAAGATTTCCAGATTGGTTTCAGGTTGATGATGAATGAGTGTGTTTCTCGCCTTCCCGATTCTCGCTCGATTTGACATCCTCGTTTGTTCCGACTGCGTGTAGTTGAGACAATACTCCCTAGATAAGTGAATGAAGTAACAACCTATTTCAAATCCCTCGCACTGATGGTGATTGTCGCTGGATGTTGCTGTTGTTGTTGTTGGTTATTTTCATAACCTCCGTCTTGTCTAGGTTTACCTGGAGTCCTGTCTTCGCCGGCTGCTTCTTCGACCAGTTTGTCGGTCGGTTTTTGCTTGTAAGTCTTCGATTTTGTGTGACATCAAACATAAATCATCCACGTGCGAAATCTAGCTCTTCTAGGTTGTTCACGTCTCTAAGTGTCTTCGCTGGCTCTATACTAAAGATCAGATGGCTGAGCCGGAAACAGTAATCACCAACAACAAGAAACTATGGGAACAAACAAACAAACAAAACAAGAACCAATCGATAGCCAACCAACAAATATATGCAGGAGAAAGTGGAGATGACACATTGGACACTCGCTGAGGAGGAGGCCGCCGCTGGGTGACATCGCGCGCGCGTCAGGCCATTGCTCGAGCGGAACCAGGCCGAAAGAGAAGTGACGAGTGGGACGTCAGTCCAAGGGTGACATGGAGGAGATCGTGTGAAGAGGAGTTGAAACAGTATGTATGGTGAACATGGATGCAGGTGAAAAGTACAGCATCAGAAGAGAGGAAGAGGTGGAAACGTGCAGTTGAAGTCCTATTGTTCCACTAGGAACCCAATGGAACAATAATAATAATACGAGGACCTAGTTTGGGACACCTTGGTGATACGCACACAGAATCAAGTTCGTAGACCATTTAGGTAATGACCTGTGTACACCCTAACTTCTGTCATTTGACAATATAAAATAGAAGATGTTCAAAAAAGAGTTACTATTTATTACCTATATCATATTCAAGCTGTACAACCAAATAATATGGTGGTGTGATACAAACGACAGTATGTTCCAATGGAATATTATTCTCACATATTCTCACAGTTCAGTACTGCATAACAGTAACGGAATACTACATGTATATATTTGCAAAATTCTATTTCATGTCGTTTAATGTACACCAAAATTACACGCTCAGTGAATGGTTAGCGAATATAACTTCTATAGATATAAAAAGCGGTTTGATTAAGGAAAAAATATACATTGGCTTCTGTTTCTTGCCTTATGCTGTTACATTCGGTGTCTCTGAATGTGAGAAAATGAACAGCTTATGCTTTTCAGTTTTTAAAAAAGGAGACATATGAATCGTCTGGCAGGATTTCGAGGCTGTTTTGCTCAGTTTAAATGACGTTCGAGATCCTTCAGCGATGAGGTTGTTACTTAAAACGCTTCTAAGAAGGTCAGGCAAGGGCAGTATATGATAATGTGAAGCAAAACACTGGCGATTATCCGCCAGGGTCATGCAAACTGCTTCATAAAATGGGAAGGATCATACATGATCACCGTGAAATGAAGTCAGACATATACAACTAGAAATGCAAACAAAGAGAAGCATATGAACGAACGTTAGCGAGCTCCGGAACTCGATACAGCAAGACAAGCAAACAAAGCCGTCAACACCAAGAAGATCGAACTGACTTCAGTTGAAAGTTTTTGATGAGGAGATTAATGTGGCAGTGTATTACAGACAATGTGTTCCGAAAAAATATCGTTTTCACATATTCCAACAGCATTAATAACAGAACAGGATATATCTATTTAAACATTCTCTTTCATGTTGTTTAATGTAAACCAAAATCACATGCTCAGTGATTGGTTAAAGAACATCAACTGTACACATATATATAATCAGCTGTTTGATCAGTTAGCGCCCTTGTCTTGCCTTTTGATATTACAAAATATAAATGGTAAATCATCTTAGTAACATGAAAGATTATTTCAAAATATATGACATTAGAATTTAAAGTTTTAGATGAAAATTATGTAAAACACAGAGTTTTTACGAGTTGATCACGAATTGATATCAGTTAGGGAACCATTGAA